TTTAAACATATCATTAAGCATTAATCCTTTTATAAAAGAATTCTTTTATGAAAGAACAAACTAAATTTAAGAGTTATAAAAAAATAATAAAAAATAACACAAAGAAAGACGAAAATAAAAATGATTTTAAAGTAAACTCAGAATAGAAAAGTAGATTTTTGACTGTACAATATAAACATTTACATATATTTCAGACTTATCTCTTTTAATGTAGTTTTTAATAAAAATTTTTATTAAATGTTGTACATATATTTAATATTTTAATTTTTGTATAGCTTTAATCAAATTCATGTGTGTGCATCTACAATGAATCTCAAATATAAATTCTCTTTCAATCAGTTGATCCTTCCATCTTTTCCTCATGCAGAGCTTCCTATTTTAGCTTTAATCAACTCTAATATACTAAGCAAGTATTTGTTACTGATTTCTGTTTGTTGCAATTGTTCACCATCGAATGCAAATTGTACAAAGCTTTTAACTCCCAAGATGTCATCTGTTCCAATCTGACGCAAATGGAGATATTTTAAGATGTATTTTTACATCTGTGGGGGGTAAACGAAGGTCGAAATTATGTATTTTCTTCTCGGTTATAAAAACCCCGGTAATATCTGCGACGGAATAATCTTGCAAACCAGCCAGCAAAACGTTTCTTTACATTCTGCGCAAGTCAGTTACATTTAACAACGCTTTGTAAATTTTTTTGAATTGTATTATGTGAAGAAAACTAGAATATTGTGTTTGTGATGTGTGTAATTTAAAATTTATTCGTCAACATTTATGTTGACTTAATAAAAAAAAACGTCTAAATGTAATAAACATATAGAAATAAGAAATAAAAGTTAAATTAAACGAAATTTAACGAGGCATAAAAAAATTATAATTAATATCGGAGAGACTTATAATTACATTTTGATTTGATTTTTAACAATAAAACAATTTACAAAGTTAAAATAAAAGTTTTAAAGAACGACAATCACTATGCCTTACATCGAAGCAATCGATTGCGATTCCAAAGAAACCTCTAATCTCCAGTTGGCTAAACTTTCCGAAGATTACGCGATTAAATCGAAAATTGCGTGTTCGATCTGGGTAGAGAAGAAAAATGATCAGTCTACCCGGATGTTGGCGCGATTTCTTAGGTAACAATCGCATTAACAATTATTATTGTCATCACTAATGCAGAATTGTTTGTCTTGCTTTTCATTACAGCGACTACAGCTTTATTCATGACAGCCACTATATGTAGTGAGTACTATGCACATCAATGCATGGCGTGATATAAATACCTCATTAACAGCACAGCATTTAATATTCCGTGCATTTCGTTAATTATAATTTTATTAGATAATAACTTTATATCTAATGTTTTGTTAATTTTTTATTAAAATAATCAATTCTATCATTTTGCTTATAATATTTAATGCACTGTGAGTTTTATTCTTATGATTGTAAACGCATGATGATTTATAAATAAAAAAATAGAATGTATTTATTTTACAATATCTAAGTAATATAAGAAAATTTAAATAAAATAGTAAATGTAATAATTTATGTCATGATTTTGTTATTTATGATTAAAAATATGGAAGAATAATGGTGAAAAAAATATCCGTTGACTATATTAGTTGTTTTCAAACACGTTATTTACTATTATTTAATAATTAATATTTTACAGCACTCGGGATCAAGATCAAGTAACAAACGCCGAAGATGTTTTATTTGATATGTTCAAGAATGAGGAGACTGGTCTTATATCAGTGGGAGAGTTTTTAGCTGTATGTAACATGTTTTTAGAGATATATGTACAATATATTCATTAATTAATCATTAAATAATAAAAATTTACATTTATATTAAATCTGTTCAAGGCTTTAAGGATAACCGGCTTACGGAAGAATGATCCTCGACTTCAGGAATTTACGGACAATCTTAAGAAAGAGCACGTCAAGAATAGCGATCGCACTAAAGCTATATCACATGAAACACAGAAGTTAGACAGAGAACAATTCAGAAGGTGAATCTATAATTTCAAAAATAATAATTCATGTATATATCTTAAATATTTATAATATATTATATTATATCTAATTTTATACTTTAAATATCACATTTATATTTGAGAACGCGAAATTGCTTACTTTTACTAGATATTCTTTATATTGAAAAATATATAATCTTTTACGTACAATGTTTAAATATTAAGGAAGTAAAACCTAGTTTGTAAATACCTTCAATAAATATAACAATGTCTTTAATTCCTTTCTTTTTCTTTTTTTTTTTAGAATTATAAATCCCAATATCGTTCTGATTTCGCGAGCATTTAGACACCAGTTCATAATTCCCGATTGGTCAGGTTTTACGAAGCATATCGAGGATTTTTATTGGAAATGTAAAACAAACACCGAGGGCAAGGTCGCCTCTTATATACCGCAGTTAGCCAGAATGAATCCAGAATATTGGGGAGTATCTGTGTGCACCATCGACGGTCAGCGATTTAGCATTGGCGATACCACAATACCGTTCACCCTTCAAAGTTGCAGCAAACCTTTGACCTATGCGATAGCCTTGGACAGGCTGGGTCCAGAAGTGGTGCATCAATACGTTGGTCAAGAACCATCCGGTAGAAATTTTAATGAGCTCGTACTCGATTATGGCAGTGAGTATTAATTAACTAATGCAATCTGAATAATAATAAAAATAACAAGTATACAAGTAATATTTAAAATTTTGCTTTATTTAAAAATTTTTACGATCAACTTCTGACATAAATGATATGTTTATAGAGAAGCCACACAATCCAATGATTAACGCTGGCGCAATATTGATCTGCTCACTTTTGAAAACATTAATCAAGCCGGAAATGGGTTTGGCAGAAAAATTCGATTTCACGATGAATTGTTTCAAGAGATTGGCCGGTGGTGAGAATCTTGGTTTTAACAACGCCGTTTTCCTGTCGGAGCGAGAGGCAGCTGACCGAAATTACGCTTTAGGATTTTATATGAGGGAGCACAAATGTTATCCAGAAAAAACGAATTTGCAGGAAGTTATGGATTTTTATTTTCAGGTAAATATTTCTTCTCCATATGTGATTATATTAAAACAATTTAATTAAAATAATTTTTCCAATTATTAAGAATAAGAATTGAGATTTTAGGACTACATGATAATATATCATTTTTATCCTTTTAAAATGCGAATTTTCTTTAAATTTTTTAACGCAACATGTCAGCATATTTTCTAAGTATAATTCAATTATGTTATTCAATGTTACGTTATTACAATATCAAAACAAACCACGTGTATTTCTATCTCTACAACAACTTTTGTGTAAGCAATACTCTGACAATGAATTTTATTCTTATTGGCAAGTGCTGCGCCATGGAAGCAAATTGCGAGACGATGGCGGTAATGGCAGCCACCTTAGCAAACGGAGGTATTTGTCCAGTTACCGAGGAGAAGGTCCTGAAACCGGATAGCGTTCGCGATGTTCTGAGTCTAATGCACAGTTGCGGCATGTACGACTATAGTGGTCAATTCGCGTTCAAAGTGAGTTAAAACAGATAAATATGTTCGTGAATGCTTGTGTAATATCTCTAGAAATTTAAATAATAAATGATTTAAACAACATATAAAATGAAAAAATTAGATGCACTTTTTGGTTCTTCATAACAGGCAATTGTATTTCAATAATTATTGTAATTTAGTATGAAAATTTACTCATACTAATTGACTATATATTAATTATTAATTATTAATTATTAATTAACAAGTCATTTATCTACTGTCCGTGCGATACCAATAACATCAATGTAAAAGTTAGATAGGATCATTGCTACATCGAAGAACATTATATTTTATTTTAGGTTGGCATACCGGCGAAATCCGGTGTATCAGGAAGTCTTCTCGTGGTAATTCCAAATGTCATGGGAATTTGCACGTGGTCACCACCTTTGGATCCACTCGGCAATTCCTGTCGTGGTGTGCAGTTCTGCGAAGAACTCGTGCGCGAATTTAACTTTCATAGGTCATGATTAATTGAAAATCGAATTATCTGAAACTTATAAAGGAAACTGATCAGCGAATATGAAAAATTATCTTGTATTTAAATTGTTTTGTCTTTTAAAATTAAATATTTGATATAATTTAAATATACTACGTAGATATTTTTTTATCATAAAATATTGTTTTAAATTTACAACTAGTTACAAAGCCTTACAATTAGTTTTCTATTTCTTATAATTTTGTGTCATTGATGTAGACATCACATAATCAAAACTGAAACTTCTCTTTCTTCATTCTGTCTTTTTCTCGTGTTGTTCAGTTATTTCATATATTATGACTACAGGTATGACAATTTGAAGCACGCAACGAATAAGAGAGATCCTAGACGGCACAAATACGAAACGAAAGGCCTCTCAATCGTTAATCTTCTGTTCAGTGCTGCCAGTGGTGATGTCACAGCGATGAGAAGGTGAGATTACACTTTTAAGAACCTGTTTAAAGATGAACGTGTAGACTTCTGTCTGCGAGTTTTTTATCATATAACATTTTTATCACATAATATTTTTGTATTTGAAAGAATTTGAACTATTAACGTGGCCTATTAATGTAAACTAATAATGTAAAATAATGAAGGCGAAGCAGTCTAACATTTTAGAAGATTACATTAGTTTTAATTATTATCGAACGCTAATTTCAGACATCTATTGAGTGGGATGGACATGACACTGTCAGATTACGATGGCAGAACCGCGTTGCATTTAGCCGCTAGCGAAGGTCATCTAGATTGCATCGAGTTTCTAATCGAGCATTGCGGAGTCCCACATGATCCTAAGGATAGGTACGATATTATGAGTTGTTCCAAGATTAAGTTACAATGATTATCTTAACAATTTATAGTATCGCATTTTTATCAATTATTATTACGAATAATTGGTCTTTTACGATCGTTTCAAAGGACACTTTATTTTATATCTGAAATAAAAAAGATTATACATTTCCTTTTTTCTTCTAATCTTTATTTATAAGTTATTTAATACATTCAAAATTAATGTTTTCTAAATTAAAATTTAATTACTCTTTGCATTTTTTTAAAATAATTTCTTTAATGTCATATTTTTTTATTTATATCAAAATTAGTTTTTATATATTTCTTTGCTTTTATATTCTTATATTTTAATGTTTTTTATTTAACAATTAGCGGATTAAATAAAAGTAAAAATTGTATGTGTTTGCTTTGACAATTTATTTTTTTCATGCAATTACATTTGAAAATATTGTATATTTAGATGGGGTAAACGACCAGTCGACGAAGCTGAAACTTTCAGGCACATGCAGGTGGTGGAATATTTGAACAACTACTCTCTTGTTCGTAAGACCGAGCTAGAGAACAAACAGGACGAGTGTATCGATAATGACAACGAGTCGTGTCGTAAACCACCGGAAACGGCTGTACAATCGTGAATAATAATATAAGCGATGACGAATTTACACAAAACTGGAGTGAATCGAGGGTGGGAACATCAAGGACTTATGTGAGAGCTATTGAGTAGAGGAAGACGTGAGACAACGTATCGATCGTAATAATAGTAAAATGAGGTCGCAAACAAAGTACGTTTTTATTCTATATAATAAGAATATATTTACATATTATATTATTGGAATGGTACTACACGTATATAATATAGAATTATTCCATAATTATTTTTATAATAATTATTTATAATTAATGAAGACATATTTTTCATTCAACAACTTTCATACAAAAAAATTTACAGCCCTACGGACAATAACGAGGAACAATAATTTTCTCATTTTTTGGATCTGTGACCTCGTTCTACTTCGCGCGATACAGTTATCTCAGCATTGAGCGGCACGCTCAGTGTCCGATTAAGAATTACTGTGATTAATATTACGTCTTTTTTCCATGATTTAGTTTTAAAAGAGTATTAAAAGTAGTATTAAAAGACTATAAAGTTCGTTTTATTATTTTATTAATTTATGCCTTACTTCCATCTTATTCTTTACTATTACATATACATATTTATATTTGCTCTAAGATACACTTCGATATTTCTTCATATTTTGAATGTAAATGCAATTTCCAATTTACATATCAGATCAATAAAAGTACAAAGTGTTGTCTGATTCATGAGTTTAAAATATTTTTAGTGCGGTCTTCAGGTTTAGTAGAATGTTTTTTTTTTATAGTTATTTACTTAATAGATCACAAAAGACAGCATGTTTTACATTGCAATTTTGAGTACATGAGCCATTTTCTGATTATACTATTTATTACATTACGTGTGACAAGGCAGAAATGATTTCTTTTGTCTTTTCACGCAAGAAAGTCTGCCTTAAAAACGAAAGAAAGGGTATTCCAGAGATAAATTTTTGGATCAATTTGTTCGATAAGACAATGTATTTTGGGGGACGAAACAGCAAAATATATTAACACAAAGAAATATTTGTGTTTAAAATAAGAAAAAAATCGTGAAAATCGAAAAATCTAAATAAGTATAGACTAGTTAATAAATGTAAGTTGTTTGTAAGAGATATTCAATTTTTCCGTTTTTTACTTTCTCTTTTTCTCATGTTTAAATCTATTTAATTTAAATAATAAAAAAATAATTTTTAAAGATTTTAAAGATACATTGCTTTTTGACGCAGTGGCGCTTATTACTTTTCCAATTACTCGAAATAGTAATTTATTTTTCTACACTGGTACATAAACACACGGATAATGAGCCAATCGGGAAAAACAGATGTTATCTCGTAGAGATTCTTCGTAACAAATCGCGCGTGAATCGTGTGTTAAACATATCTTTCCAAGTGTGTTTTCTTAGTAGTTTTAAAGGTTCTTCGATAATATGGAATCGACGGTATATCCGTCTTAGAGAGAAATACGTACTATTTCGCAAGTCAATATCAGAGAAACTTTTGAAAAGGTTTACTTTATACGATATCTTAATGCATATAACATTCTATTATAAACAAATGTCTCACTTTTCCTCACTGTATTTTTAATGTATATAAAGAATACGTGTATATTAAAAATTTATTATAGTTATATTTACTTTTTGTGATTTTTTTATCTGTCGTTTTCGAAAGAATAGATGATCTATGAAGATAATTTTTATGTTATTGACTATGAACAATTTAGTATTAATGTGAGAAACAAAATGCTACTATAATCAATCTCTTCCGCGTATTATCTATTATGATATATAGAATAATATATACGTTGTTTCCATAGATAAATAGTTAAACGGATAACGCCAATTCCGAGTGCAATTATGTAATTCTTTCTCAATGTATGAGCGTGTACTCGTATCGCTATACTGTTGTTATTGCGCTATATAAATGTGCCGACAGATGTAAAAAAAGCTAGAAAAGTCAATTTTTCGCAAATGCGTTAATTAATGATTACGCTAACGTAGCGATCATATATATAGTCTACGTATGTTAGATAATATTTTCGCAATGAATTAGTTAGGATCGCTTTGCGTACAGAAAAACCTGATCTTATATTTTGATGAAATGGATAAAAAATGACAATAATATTATTATACATATATGAGAACATAACCTTCATCAGAGAGGTGGAAATATTATAATTCCGTAACTTTTCGTAAAAAAAGAATTTATGCAGCATAAAACTATTTCTAATACATTTTGCAAGAAAATAATTTTTTACATGATCCATTCGTGAGAATTAGTTACAGTATTAGTAGATTCGCAATAAATTTTACGAATAACTTTTACATATTTTTTTATGATTGTATCATAACATTAACATTTGTGTGTGTGGTTACGCCGTGGTTTTTAATTAAATAATTGTTAAAAGAGATTTAATTATCTCAAACTTTTTAATACTAAAAAGATTTTATTTGTAAATAGTTGTAAGTAATTTGTATAATTTTTGAACCCAAACCGAGTATTGTGTCCATCTCTGTACTTGTTTGTTTATGAAATAAAGTATAAAATAAAAATAATCTGAGCCTCTATTCTCTCTCTCTCTCTCTCTCTCTCTCTCTCTCTCTCTCTCTCTCTCTCTATCATAAATATTACACACACATTTGCATTTTAATATTAATATGTTCAATTAATAAATAATAAATATTAATAATAATTATAAAATTTAATCTGTAGATACTAATAGTCTTGTTGTTTGTTATAAACATTTATAATGTTATATGTAATTTGTAAATATTAAAAATTAAATTATGTATTAATTTTTACATTATAAAGACAGTGAAAGTATGAAATTTCATGAACAATTGAGTACGTAAAAATATATAAACTATTCATATTATTTATATATTTAAGATATTAAATTTTGACTTCTGATATTTCTATTAATTAATGAATATATCGATCAAATTATCATTAAGTACGCATACTATGATAATAATGGAGTAATACATATAACAGATCGACAAATAAATATTAAAGATTTCTTACTTTTCATTAACGCAAAGAATATACAAGTAAGATTAGGAAGACGTAATAAATAATAATATTAAAAAATGAAGATTAGCTTTATGACCTCGACATTGCGCGCAATGTCAGTGATTTTATGCACTACGTCAAACATGTTATTCAGGCGCCAAGCAAGCGCGAATAATAATCGTCGCAATTTAGACAAGTCGTAACAAAACGTTATTATACTAATGGTTGGAATAGTTTATGTTTATTTAGTTGGAATAAGTTGCGCTGAAAAAGATGCATTCACATATCTACAATAAATGAATAGGTCATACGACAATCGGTGTTATCAATTAAAAAAACTGCATTGTAATTATGAAATGTTAAGATCAAAGTTTCAATCTCCATTTTTCAAAATTAATAGAAACTATCAAATATGAATAAAAATCTTTAAAAAGTTTATATTAATGACAAAGATAAATACATATTTAAAGTATATTTTAGCAATTATTGAAATTTGTTTTCAGATTATATATATTAGTACATTGCGAGTAGGACTAATGGGATCTGCAGCTAAAAATGAAAATATTTACCTTTCTCTTATATTTTAGAATAGAAGTATAAATCCGCGAAATTAACTCCTAAATTAATACTCCTTATACATATATATATAAAACTTTAAATTAATTTTAGAAATGAATTAGCATCTAGATTGAAATAGCATATAATATATGATACGGTATATATTGTAATCTCTGTATATGCCGATGACATTAGTAACAACTTAATTCTAAACAATGGATGATTAATAGTTCGCTGCCCACGAGGGGAATACATGAGTTACGTCATTATTCGTTGTGTATTGTCAAGTATAGTGAATACCGATGATATCGCAGTTAAAGCACGTAAGAGGTTGGATTTTCCTAACCGACACCAAATTTTGTTTTGCTGAGCTGCACCGTAATAGGTGAATCATTAGAAATACTCGAGATGTTTATTTTGTATTCATTATACGTAATATTGATTTCTGTCTCTATTTATTTAATTTTTACTTATTCATTTTATGGCATCTATCGAATTATTGCTTTCTTGAATCATATATCTTTCTTAGCATCAAATTATTATAATAATTAAGTTACTTAATTAAGAAGTAAATAAATTTTTCAACTTTTTATTTAATTTTTATCAAAAATAATTGTCATTATGTACAATTTATAGTATAAATTTATAGTACAATTTATAGTATGCTGTTAACATTTTGTAAATGTTTGTATGCCTAATTTGGTAAAATGAAAAAAAAATTAAAAACAAGTTTACCTTAGTTACATCATGGGGATTCCCCAATTGTTGAAATGCATGACTGGTCTCAAGGACCAGTTAATATAAAATTGCAACTTAAAGATTTAGAAAGTTATAAGTTGAAGATAAATTCACACTCAGGAATCAAGTAGCTTCATCATTCGCCATTATGATGACGCAGATGGAAATAACGAAATAATACTATCGCAAAGTCCAGATCGGATGGTCATCATGTATACGAATATCTGTGCTTACAATTAATGACGAGGCCAACATACTATCATCATAGATAATTGTTTATTTTCTGGTCACTTGCGAGTATACTTGGAACAAGATCGAGTTCCGTTTGATTATTCAACTAATTCTGAAAAACTGTTTTAAATTCACAATCAATGGATTCCCCTTTTCTAAAACAGGGAAATTTAGAATTAATTATGTAAGAAAGTTACGTATATTATTTGATAATAAATTTAGTTTATTAAAAAATTCTCACATTATCTTATTGTTTCGTTTACTCTTCTATCTCAGAAATTACTAGAGTTTCTTTATGAGTAATAACATTTTTTTACATTATGTATTATACTTTAAATTTCACTTCGATTAACATATGTATATTTTAACAATTTTATTATAAATACAGGCGAGTATAACTGAATACCATAAAAAAAGATATACTTCTTTCTTTAATATTTTCATAAAATTGGTATGAATAATTTCAGTTTTCAATAATAACATTAGTTAAAACAAGATATGCATATAACGGTATATTTTGTTATTAATTGAAAGTTATGATTTTATAAGTTTTATAATTTTTGAGAGATATGCAAAGAGAGAGAGAGAGAGAGAGAGAGAGAGAGAGATTTCAATAAGTAATTGTTAATTCTTCGATGACCAGTCGTTGAACCTGACCTTGAAAAACCGGAATGATACAGGTTTTGCAAGACACTTAAAGATAGACTCTACAAAATAACTTCGAATATATGACTAGTCAAATCGATGACTGCGTGGTGCCGATTGATCGACCAAACATCATTAGTTTGCAATAAAACTAGTAAGTATCTAATAAATGTAAATGATCACTTAATACAAATACTTAATAATTTTACGACAATTTTGATAAAATATTTGCAAAATCCTTTTAAAAAACCCTTTTTCAAGATTCTAATTTGATAAAAAAATAATACTGTTAAAAACAATAGCATACTAGTTTACACATAACATAGGATCAAACATTGAATTTGAACTTTAACAGATTAAATATTTTACGGAAAAGCTTGACTAAATATTATATTTGAATTTTATGTATAAATTTTACGATATAACTATATAAAATATATTGAATTGAAAGAAACTTGAACAGAATTTATTTCTTTTTCGTCTTAGTATTATGCTCTTTTTCCTTGACCTAATATAAAGTCTCATCGCCGAAGCTATTAAAATTTGTACGTCAGATCGAAGGAGAGTGTGTTTCGAGGATTGTAATTTTTATTTCCCTTATTTCAAAATATCAATCTGTCACCGCCATACATTCATTGGTTTTCCCCTGCATATTAACTGACTTTTCATATTTTTACATCTTTATTTCTCATATTGTTATTCTAATAATAATTATTAAGTTTAATCTTTATGAATGTTTAACAAATAATAAAAGCTATAAAAAAATATTAATGTTAATTGTCAATATTATAAATTCTATCAATTTTCTTTGATTACGGCTGCATATATATAATTTGTAATCTTTTTTTAGATGCATGGATGAACATGTTTCTACGTATAGATATTGGTTGCAATTATTTATGTTAATTTTGTAGAAAGATAGACAGAAAAACAATAATTTTTCATTTATTGCGTTTGATTGTCGCTTGTCTGTATTTATAAGCCAAATTTTTTCTGAATTCTTTTTTCTGCATCTTCGAAATACTTGTTTTTAGAAGAATCAACGTAATAAATAATAATTTATAAAAAACATCATATCGGATTTAAATAATGTTAAAATATATTTAAATTAAAATCATGTTTTATAAATTTTTTGACATAGTGTAATTATATAAGCGCAACTTATATTAATTTTCTCTTGTATATTTAATAAAATAATTGAAATGTCTAAAAAATTACTTGTTAAAAGTAAATGTGTTTTACTTGATTTTACATATTGTTTGAAATAAAAACAATAAAGCAAAAAAATGTTTTCAATTATTTATCTTTGAATATTGATTATCGTAGTCATCGATATAAAAAGAAGACAGAATTCAATGAAAACCATGCACGTATATGCTAGATGTCATTTTAACTGGTTAAATTGCAAATGACTTTACCACGTCGCTAAAGCTATTTGGGAATTAATATTTTTCTTGTATTAAATTTATTATGCTTATGTAAGAGCCAAGAGCTAAGAATAATATATCTTTGTTCTGTCAGAAACAAAACATTCCTGTTTAATAAAAATATCTGTAATTATTTTTTTAGATAAGTAACTTTTAAATTGATCACGAAAGAAAATTGACTTAAATAAATCTAATAGCTTGTTCTATTATATTGCTTTTCTCGATTCTTTCCTACTTCTCTTTCTTCTTTTTCTTCTTCTTCTCTATACTTTTTCGAAAGTTTTATTCACATACATTTATACTTTTTTTAATTAAAATTAATATAAAATCACAAAAACCTCTTATTAGATTGTTTTTGTTTAATTATTATTGAGTAGACAGAAAGGTATAATCCGAGATTGAAAATATGTTAAATACTTCGTCGAAATAAGCGGTCCTTGATAATCAATTCTGTGAATGACAATACAGTAGCAAAATTTTTGTCATTTAATCAGTTTTTATCGATCATTTCCAAAATAACAGATACCTAATATAAAGATTATATCTAACTCTAAAATTGCATTAGTTACTGGCGTAAAAGTATGAGACTCCCAAAACGTAATGTTTCTTGAGACTGGCGTCGAATTCATGGAAATGAAAAATTATAGAAAATCCTAAACAGAGGCACTCGATAATACTGAAGAACGTAATGGGAGAAAAAGAGAGGGTCAATTATTATCCGACGTAAAATCCACGCGTGTGTCGTATATAAGATGTTGTCCTCGTGCGAGAGTTTCAGTCGCTCTTGACTCTCTGACCATCGAGATATCGGCAAAACAGACAAAACAAGGAGGATTACTGTGTGTGATAGGCAAATTATTTATTTGCGAAAGTGGAAACCGTCATGAAGTTATTTAGGTGTTTAGTGCCAGTAGTGGTGCTGCTATTGATTAAGAACTCCTCCGCGAGACCTGGTGAGTTTTAAATTATAGGGAAGTTTTTTTTTTCTTTCATTTATGACTAAAATTAAAAGGAATATTATTGCACGCCAGATTGGTTTCCAGATATTTATGTAATGATGACATAATGACTAATTTGAGAGAATTATGTTATATCAAAATGGTTTCTGCTTCTTTCGCAAAATTAAAAAAATTAATTAACTATCAATTTTTTTCTATAAACTTATACATTATTAATCTTATGAGATATCTAATAAATCTTTGAAAGAATTAATAGATGTGTGTGTGAAAGAGAAAAAATTACAAAATATTAAAAAAGTCGTAAATAACGTTATCATTCAGTATTTTTGATAACCTTATAATTTTTTTATTTGTGAAGGTGTATTAGGCGATTTGATCGGTCAGAACGTTGGTAGATTGCTGGACCCATTGGGAATATTCAGGCCTAAAAGTAGCAATGCCGCTGCTAGCAGTAATGCTCAGGCATTGGGAGGAAACGTGAATTTCGGACCTATCGGTATCGGTGGTGGATACTCCTCAGCTACGGCTGAAGCGTCGGCGAATAGCGGCGGTGGCTCAGCTTCGGCTTCAGCCAAAGCTGATGCTCATGCTAACGGATATGGAGGATACGGTGGTTCGAACGCGAATGCGCAAGCATCCGCTAATGCTAATGCACAAGGTGGGCTCGCGTACCTGATATATATAAAACATACATAAAACATTTCTATAGTTTTAAACTTTTTTTAAAACATGAGATAAATAAAATATTATGACGATTAAAATAACTCAAACAATAACCAAAGTTTATGGAAAATTCTAAAATTTTGAATGTTGTGAAGCATTGTGAACATTTTCGAGTCTCCAATGT